AACTGTGAATTTACCAGTACTTCCTCAGCCCTGCCCAGTGTGGAACTGTGAATTTACCAGTACTCTCTTAGATCCCTCAGTGTGGAACTGTGAATTCACCATACCTTTATTTTGTTGTTAAACTATTACATTCTTTTCATCTGAACTAGGATCAAAAATTCAGATACTTTTGTTGCTCTATAATGCTTATGAAGTTGGGCAAGTTCAAAAAGCCTACCCCAATTCTGTTTAACCATTATTTTTAGACATAATTTTGCAAATTGTGTTAACTAATACTTTTCTGGAGCTCCTCAGAAATCATTTATCATACTAGAGCAAAAAAAAATGTAACTCCTTCATAAACACTTCATTACCTTAAACCATGTTGCCAATGTTCAAGCATATTTCTCTCTAAAATATTATTTGATATTAATTGGTTAACTCATTACAGTTTCTTAATTTTCCCAATAATCTGCATCTTGCAACAGCCTGCTTACCTAATTCCAGCTCTACTACCCACCTCTCCTATTTCCTTGCACAAGACTTCTTCCTTTAAAAGGCAAAGAGGTTTTATCCCCTGTCATCTGTCTGCCTGTCCTGCTCTTCATCTCCCACATTGGTCTCTGTCTTGGGGACTTTGCAATGACAGCCGCCTGCTGTCTTGCTGACAAATTTTTGTAAGTATTTTTGGCATGTCACTGCTCACTAGGCTTGCCCTCTTCTTCACATAGGTTGTATACCTTAGCACTTTCTTTCCCCAGCTGAACTCTCCCATCTGCCATCTGTCTCCAAATTAATTTCCTTCATGAAAAATAGACATCAGTTGTAATCTGATGCATCCATTTTTAAAATACATTGAGAGGATGTCTTGGTCCAATTCAAACCACACTCCGTTAGCTGTTTTATTCTTTGTATTTGTTTTGTTCTGTTAAGATCAGTCCAATCTCTTTTACATTAAAGAACTACGTAAGTTAAGAGGATGCACCCTGGAGCCAGACCTCCTGTCCTCTTCCACATCATCCAGTACAGTTCCTGGTCCTCTCAGAGGCGCTGTCTCGTCCTAGAATCATGAGTATGTTTAGATGAAGTCTGAGAATTGCTGAGCACAGAGTAAGAATACAGAGGTTGTGATGCTGTTGTTGTATCACTACCTCCACAGCCACTATTCTGTCACATGCCAATCCCAGTGTTCCCCAAGTGTAGATGGGTAGATGCTGACATAGTCACTAGTCTACACCGAGCTATCCACCAAAATACACTGAGTGATCCAAGTAGAGACAGCAAATTCCAGCTAACATCTCCAAACAAATGAGTACATGTGCATACTCTTTCAGGCACAGATACACAGGCACAGGCACAGACACACACACACACACACACACACACACACACACACACACACACACCCATAAGGACCTTTCAAAATCCTGCAACCTCTAGCTGTATTGAAGCACTGACTAGAAACCCAGTTTCATAGACTTGATAGACTGAGTGCTTACACAGTTGGTTGACATTTGCAGAACAATTATCTAACAGTTTCTTATATGAGAAAGTACAATTTTGAATTGTACTCTGTGACAAATGTGTGAGAATAAGATACTCATTTAATCATTAATTCACTAAGAAAACAAATACTCCTTGTGCCATGTCAAGTATAGGGCAGAGGATTAGAGGGTGGGCTGGAGAAATGGATCAGTAGTTAAAGAGCTTGTCCTACAAACACGAGGACCAGAGTTCAAATCCCCGGATCCTGTCTAAATTCCCAGCGTGTGTTGCTGCCTTTCTGCAATCCCAGCACTGTGGAGGGGAAGACAAGGATCTTATAGACTATGACACACACAGAAGTTGATTGACAAATAGCCCCACATCAGTTATTGGGCCAAGATTCAGCAGAGCTAACCATTACTCAGTGCTTTTAACGAAATAAAATCCTCACTGCCTTCTATACTTCATGTGCAACTGCCTTCTGGGAATGTTCAAGTCCTTCCAATAGTGCTGTTCCTTTCCATATAGTTAAAATGCACAATTTCCTCACTTTTTCATGTCTAAACTCAAAATACATCCTATAATTTATTGTGATCAATTAGTTACTTCTTCCTACATGGTAAAGAATAACAGAATCTTAGACTCATTAAAATGTAGTATTACAATTCCAGATAACGAATATCCAGTGATTTCTGATGACAGTGCATACCCAATCTGATGGGTCAGTGATTTCACTCTGCTCCTTAGACACCGTGTTTTCAAGCATGAACTTTAAGAATATTGAAAAAGATAGATATGGATGACATGGGGACATAGCTTTAGAAGGAGGTGACAGCCTCAAGGCTATTGTGTCTTGTTTTGATATTTTTCAAGTGATTATAATATGTATAATTTTCAAATTAAAGTGAGTAGGACTGGGGTGTAACTGAGTTGACAAGATGCTTACCTAGCAGAACCAAAGGCCTGGATTGATCCCCAGCTCCGTATAGACAGAATGTAGTAGCATACACCCATAATCCTAGCATTTGAAAAGATGGGGGCAGGAGGATCAGAAATTCAAGATCATTATAGTGAGTTTGAGGCAAGCCTGGGATATCATGAGATTTTTTTAAAAATACAGATGTATTTATCTCATTTCAACATTTGCTCACAATTTGAAATAATTAAATATGTAATTGAATATGTGAATATTGCCCAGGTCATCACAAAGCCTTAATTTCAAAACTACTACCATACAATCACAACTATTTGTCCAAAAATGCTCCAAAACATTTAGGCTCCTTTAAGAAATGTTCAAACTGTCCTCTCCACTCAAGTGAATTTAAGAAAAAAGGAAAAAGTCTATGTATTGACAGCAGGAGCACAGTGTATTTAGACTTAACTTTGCAAACTTTCTATTAATGGAGGTTGACGTAAGCATAGTCAACCCCATAGTGCTTCTGGACAATGCCATGATTGGTGTTGACATCCACACACTTGCCTTCTTTAAGAAAGATTATTTGATTTCAAAATGCTATCTCAATACTCATGCTGATATAAGCCTCCTAGTACCATGCTGTTTTGGCCTTGCCTTTTGATTGGTTGTTCTTGATACACTTATCAACAGACCAGATCAGAATGCATTACATAAAAATAATACATAATGTGTTGTACCATGAATTCTCAAGTTTAAAATTTCCAAGACATCTAAAAATGGTACAGCCTGTCCAAATAAGTACCAATGTAGGTACCAATCACTGCACTCAGTACAGATATTAAAATCACAATAGAATTCTACAGCCACTACAATCAGAGAAGCTGGAACAATAACATCCACCTCTCATCCCAGCTACACAGAGGAGACAGAGGAATCTCATGAGTCTAGGGCTTAGAGTCTAGTGTAGGTAACATCTCAACTCCCAGAGATAGAAAGTTGAAAATACTTTTCTCTTTTTTTTTCCTAGAAAAGACTGAAGGCAATGAATAAACAAGTTTTTAAAATCTATTTTAAAATGTTAATGTTACACAAAACTAAAGAAAATTTCCTTTCTCTGCCCATTAGTTGATACACGCAATGAAATATTACTCATTACTGAAAGAGGAATGAAGTACTGATGTGTCCTACAATATGAACAAGCCTTAAAAACATCATGGTAAAGGGGAAAGGTATGTCACAAAAGCATATATTTTACATCATCTTATTTATATAAAATCTTCACGATAAACAAATCCAGGGTGACATACAGTTGGTCAGTGAGTGCCTCGGGGCATGGAGTGGGTGATATACAGGGAATGATTGCTAATAGTTATAGGAATTAAAATGTGCTAAATTTCTGATGTAGTAAAAGTGGCACAATTTGAATGTAAACTAGGTTGTATGCTTTGAGTGAACAGAGTAGTATGTTAATTACATGTAAATAACACCATTTCAGAAAAAAAGTGAATAATTTACCAACAGAAATATTTCCTCATCCTGCCATGGTAAATGCTTTCTTCATAGCAGAGAGCAGAAGAGAGAAGGTTTTGCTGCAAGTCCTGGAATGGAAAGTTTTTCCAGGGAAAGGGGATATCCTGCAGCAGAGCTTTACTGCAGATAACTCAAGAGAGAAGCAGTAACTTGCTATGCCTGTGTTTAGCAAGTTGTTCCAGTAGCTCGTTGTTTTGGGTTAATAGAGATGCTGGATTAAAAAAACAAAACAAAACAGGCAACTCAGTCACGTACCTTCAGATACATCATTGGGTTATTTATGTATCTCTCAGGTTGTTTTAATACAAGCGTTTATCACTATACACTGCTTTGGCTGTGTCCCAGAAGTTCTGATAAGTTGTGTTTCTATGATCATTTGTCTCTAGGAAGTTTAAAAGCTTTCTCTCTGGTGTCTTAACGGTACACTCTTCACTTTAAAATGTATTGTTTAGTCTCCAAGTAATTTTGTGACTTCTGTAGCTTCTCATGTTGTTATGTTCTAGATTTATTGCATTGGGGTCTGATAGGACACAAGGACATAATTTAATCTTACGTTTATGTTGAAATTTGACTTGTATCCTATTATATGATGAGTTGGAGAAGGTTCCATGTGCTACTGAGGGGAAAAATGTATATTTCCTGTCTGTCAGGTAGAATTTTCTGTATTTATCTGTTAAGTCCAAGTTCATCTGTAATATGCTTAGCTCTGAAGTTCCTTTACTTGTTTTCAGTTTGGAAAACCTGTATAGATATGAGAGTAGATTAAAGTCCCCAACTATTATTATGCCAGAATCTATGCAGTCTTTTCTGTCTTTTAGTATTTGTTTTATGTAATTATGGGCTCCAATAGTCCGTGCATAAATGTTTGCAGTTGTTATATATTCTTGATTGATTGTTCCTTTTGTTGATATGTAGTATCCCATTTTATCTCTTCTAATTAGTTTTGGTTTGAAGTTTATTTCAATATAAAGTTAGCAACACCCACTTGTTTGCATTTTCCATTAGATTGGTTGTTTGTTTTCTATCTTTTGATATTAAGATTTTGGGTATCTTTGTTGATAGTGTATTAAGATCAATCCATGGGAGTCTATTTCATGGGTAATAGGGATTTATTAAGATATAAATTGAGAAAATACACTCACAAATACAGAACCAAGTAAACAGTTGAAATTGTTCTCTGTTCTGACCAGAAGCAAATCCACCTGGTTGTTCAATCACACCAGGAAGCAGGAAGTAGGGAGAAGGGACTCATGACTCTTCTCCCTTTTTTTTAAGAGGTCATGTACAATGGCAAGAAGTACCACCTCCTTCAGGCCCTATAACCTAAGGTCATGAGCAGAGCAAATACCACTACATTTCCCCCTTTTGTCTAACTAAGAAGGTTCAAAACTTAATGCAAACAATATACAATAAGGATAATTATCAAGTATTGTTCAGAAAAAACAAAGGGTAATCACATAAACAAAAATGGAACTACAACCAACAAGAACAACATCAAACTAGAAAGACATGCTAAATGTCCAGAATTGTCCAGATCATAGGTAAATGCCAAATTAATGAGATTACTTCAATAGCTGTCCTATCCTGAAGATTCTAACTCTAGTATTTAATATGTTCTAACTAAAATATGAGAAGATTATAACTGTAACTATCTAGTCTTCAACTCCATCAAAGACGTGAGAAGAAACATAATAATATCTGAGAAAACGGAAATTGCAAGCAAGCAATTTCTGAAAATCTTGCGTGAATAGATAGAGACAACTGGCAGCCTGGACAGACACCTAAAGTTTCTCAGCATCATTGGGGCATTCAATTTGGATACAGACCTAGAATATCTGACAGACTATTTTCAGAAGCAGGAATTTTGAAAGACCATCTTACCCTGTCTTAGCAAGGTTCAATAGTCACTTTTCCTTGTGTCCTGCTCAGCCAGAAAGGAGAGCATTCATACTGTCAGCAGTCGAGGCAAGGGCCATTCTTTGCCCAGCAGGCCATTTTGTGCCAAGAAGAAGACAAACTTCCAAATGAAAATGTCTTAGAAGCCCAACATTCTCTCAGGATCAGATCAGTGCTGCCAGGAGCAATCTTGTCTCATGTCAACAGAATTCTAAGCTATCAAAACATTTAAATGCCATATTCTCTAGGTCTATGAAGTGTTTGAAGATTACCTACCCATCTGACATGTGTTTCTGTAAATCTGGAAAACCTAACTAACATAACTATAGAAAGCATGGGCGACTATAGTTCTGTAAGTCTTATCTACCTAAACAACCTAAGGACTAAGGCTAAATATTAACAAGGTAAACAATCTGTAAGCAGATGCACCCCTATAAGGACAGTGACCTTAAAATTGTGACATTATGCAAAATGTCTTAAACAGAGGTAGAAATGTATAGTTCAATATGAAATATGACAACAATATCTTTAATATGTATCAATATACAAAATATCCTAAACAGAGGTAGAACAGTATGACAAATATAATTTTACATTTGTATCAATATACAAACTATTTCAAAGAGTAGTACAAATATATATATAATACAACAAATATAATTTTGTATTTGTATCAATATACAAATTATCTTAAATGGGAATATAAGAATACTTTATATTTATATCAAATATACAAGAATCCATATCAGTGCAAATTTTCCAAGGCTGATAGTTTGCTAAACCATACTGCTAGTAGATACAATAATCTACCTTAATATACTATACCTATCCAGTCCCCTTTTTCTCTTCTAAAGGAGAATACTGAGTCTAAATTTTATTGTTTCACCCTCATCCCTAACCATCCATCCATAACCCTGAGAAAAATGAAACCTTTAAGGGGGTTCTTAATATTTCCTCCTGCTGTTTAGTGGGCAATGGTATCTGAGGTCTTGTAAGAAAGCTTAGATAGTTAGGTCTCAGGACTATCTGTAGAGTCTGCAGCCAGTCTCAGAGTAATGGGTAAGATTGTCTGAGATTCTGGCCAGAAGTGTAGTATGATGGACCATCTCATCTTGGAACTGTCTTGAAGAATTATCAGTCCGAGGCTGATCAGTGAGTAGTGTTCTTAGGTACAGAAGCATCTTTCTGGACCGAGCAGAGTCATTGCTGTGGGGCCCCATCTTCCTTCTGTAGACCTCAGTGATTGCTATTGGAAAGAATTATTTTTCACTGTGGAAAACTTGAACATTATTAATATCAAAATGGAAAGTTGGGATTTAGGGTGATTTGAGGAAGGATTTTCAGGTTTCTAAGGCCTTATAATTTCTTGAAGATGGGCATTTCTATTATCCTATAAAGACAAAAAACAGAACGCTGCCCCAACCCTTGTTTTTTGAGTTTTTCTCACAACTTGTAGAGTTGTCACATCAGTGGATGAGCTATTACTTCTCCTCATCAAGGTTTCTCCTGTTTGAAGTGAATTTTTATTAATTTTGTTGATATCCATAGCTTTCCCTCTTCTGCAGAAACAAAAGCAAAACTCCTTCCCCAACATAGGATGTATCCTGGTTTCCTTTCTGAGGTCAACACATCTTTTAAGTAAACAAGTTGGTTTAGCTCAGGATTTTTTTCTGTTGTTCAGTGTCTCTCCACAGCTGTTGTTCCTTTCTCATCAGACTAGAGAAAATTTAAAGTTAATAAAGCATTATGTAATCTATTTCTTGGAGTCATTGTTACCTCTTTCTGTTTATTTAGCATATCCTTTAAAGTTTGATTGAATCTTTCTATGAATGCTTGGCCTATGGGATTGTGTGGTATACCTGCAACATGCTTTATATTGTAATAAGCAAAAAACTGTCTAATTTTATTTGAGACATGCTGTGGGATGTCTTTCTGTATGCTGTAAATATGTGTTTCTCTGATTGGTTGATAAATAAAGCTGCTTTGGCCTATGGCAAGGCAGCTTAGAGGCAGGTGGGAAATCCAAGCAGGTATACAGAGAGAAGAAAGGAGAATAGAGAGAGACACCAGCCTCCACAGAAAGAGCAGCCAGATGCCAGCAGACTGGTAATGCCACGGCTACGTGGCAACTTATAGATTAATAGAAATGGATTAAATTATAAGAGCTAGCTAGCAAGAAGCCTGCCATAGGCCATATAGTTTGTAAATAATATTAAGTCTCTAAGTGATTATTTTATAAGTGCTTGTGGGACTCCAGGGCCAGGCAGGACGGCAGGGCTGAAGAAACTTTACGACTACAGAGACATTTGCTAGAGCATTGTCAGTCTTAATTTGTACAGGTATTCACATGATGGCCATAACTTCTAATAGGTGTATAATCAGAGTCAGCCTTTTCAGAACTCATAGGAGTTGCCCATTCAAATCCTGAATAGATGTCAATGATATGATGTCAGAAGCCAGTGGACAGTGTGAGACCGGTAGCAGGCCCACATTGCACTGGGCCCAGGTCTTCCTAGAGTCATGTTGCTTGGGAATACAGCCAATAGTGGGTGGTAAACTCCATCTAAGGCTAAATACCAGCACGAGACTGATAGTCGACAAGTAATAAGGGAAAGCTGAAAAGAACTTTAAAGAGAGAGTTCAAAAGGGCGTGAAACCATTAAGAAGTAAATGGGTGGGGTCCATGCAGTCTGCCCAGAGGATTCAGCCCGGCATCGAACCCAGCCCAGCTAGCTCAGTCAATAGAGCACGGGACTCTTAATTCAAGGGTCGTGGGTTCGTGTCCCACTTTGGGCACCACTTATTAAGATCAATCCCCTTGAGTCTATTTAATAGGTAATAGCGATCAGACCAGGAAGCAGGCAGCAGGGAGAAGGGGTTCATGACCCTTCTCCCTTTCCTTTTAAGAGGTCTTGTACAATGGCAAGAAGCACCGCCTTTTTTGGGCCCTATAGCCCAAGGTAATGGGTGGAGCAAATATCACTACAAAAGAGTTTCTTGAATACAACATATAGTTAATTCCTGATTTTTAATCCAGTCTTTCTTTCTAGTGGTGATTTAAGGCCTTTTAGATTTAAAATCATTATAGAAAGGGGTTTACTGTTTCCTATAAACGTACTGGGTCATGTTCTGTTTTGCTGGATTAGTTGTATTTCTTTCCCTTCTCCTGTATTAGCAAGGAAGGTTTGATGAGTTGTGATTTTGGACATAGTTGTTTCTTTTCTAAGTCTAGTTTATTTGTCTTTTGTTTTTATAAAGTGTGCTTCCATATATTCACATGAACAAAGCTGTCTTTCTTCTTCTTCTTCTTCTTCTTCTTCTTCTTCTTCTTCTTCTTCTTCTTCTTCTTCTTCTTCTTCTTCTTCTCTTCCTCCTCCTCCTCCTCCTTCTCCTTCTTCTTCAGAGTATATCATTAAGAACCTTCTACAGTGTAGCTTGGTTGTCATGAAATTAGATGGCTTATTCAATTAGAATTCTAGACAATGAGTAGGTTTTTAGTGTAATTGTTGCCAATAATATAAAAATATTAAATATTATAAGATGATTCTACAATGGCAGATGCATTTATACCAAAGCCAGTGAGTTGCCTACATGAAATTCAGATGTATTTACATCTAATACATCCTGTTCTTGTTAAACGAGGCAAAATAGGGCTGTGGTTATTGTTTTAAATCTTACTTTCATTTTATGTGTATGTGTCCACATGTATGTATGTGTACTACTTGCATGCCTAGAGCCTGTGGAGGCTAGGAAACTGCTGCAGATCTCCTGGAATCTGAGTTACAGATGTTTGTGAACAGCCATGTGGATGCTGGGAACCAAACTTGGATCATCTACAAGAGCAAACAGTGCTGTTAAACACTGAGCATCTCTCCAGACCCCATTTATTTAGTTCTTAGGGTTTTTCTCTCTTTATTTGCTGTAGTGAGCAAGGCAGACTCCCAGCTGAGAGGCCTGCAGTAGAAATACAGTAACAGAGAAGTGTGTTGACAGGATGAGAAGATCAAAAGGGAATTCCAAGTAGGGGCAAGACATGAGCCCAGATTCAGAAGTGAAGTAGAACATGGCTAGTTCAAAGAAACAAGGGAGTTCCATCTAAAAAAAAAATCCAGCAAGTGCAGAAGGGAGAAAGATATAGTTAAAGAAAAACATGTTTGTTTGCTTGGTTGCTTTTGGTGTTTGGTTTGGTTTTCTTGTTTTTGTTTTTGTTTTAGGCAAGGTCTCATTTTATAGACTGGGCTGGCCTAGAATTCATTATGTGGACCAGGCTAGCTTTGAACTCACAGAGATCTGTCTGTCTCTGTCTTCAAAGTGCTAGGGTTATAGGGGTACACCACCACATTGGTCTAGTTTTTTTCTAAAATGACTATTTCTTAGAGCTGTTTTATGTACACAGCAAAAGTAAGCATAAAGTACAGAGGGTTCCAGATACTCCATTTCTATACACACACAGACTTCTTTACTCTCAACATCCCACACCCAAGTAAGACATTTATTACAATGCATACACCTGTACTGATACCTCATTGTTGCCCAGTGTCCAAGGTTCACATTTGGGCTCACTGTATGTGTTGCACATTTTGTTCATCTGGGCAAGTCCATGTCATGATACATTATTACAGTCTCTGATCGAGTATTTTCACTGTCACCAAATCCTCTCTGCCCTGTCTACTCAGACACCAACCTCTGGAAACCACTGATAATTTTACCATCTCTCTAGGTTTTGGGTTTTCTAGAATGGCACGTAACTAGAATCATATAGTATGTGGACTTTCCATTTGAGCTTCAAGAATGCACTAAAAATTTAAGGTCCAGCTGTGTTGTTCCCTGACTTCATAGCTCATTCCTTTCTGCTGATGGATAAGTTCCCTCTGCCTGACTGTACTCAAGGAGGGGTTCATTGCTTTCGGAGGAGCCACAATCTCCTTCATCTGCTTGCTGCATCATCTTGTTCTGTCAATAAAGAATTGAATACTGAATGCTTAAGAAGACAATTGCGGGGCTGGAGAGATGGCTCAGAGGTTAAGAGAACTGACTGCTCTTCCAGAGGTCCTGAGTTCAATTCCCAGCAGCCACATGGTGGCTCACAACCATATGTAATGAGATCTGGCGCCCTCTTCTGACCTGCAGGCATACATGCAGGCAGAACACTGTATATATAATAAATAAATGAATCTTAAAAAAAAAAAAAAAAAGAAGCAATTGCAGGTGAGATGGACAGATGGCTCAGCGGTTAAGAGCAAGTACGCTTTCCCAAAGGACCCAAGTTCAACTCCAAGCATACACAACAGGCAGCCCACAATTACCTTTAACTCTAGTTTCAAGGTATCTGGTGCCTCTGGCCTCGTCAAGCACCTACACACACATATGCAGACAAAGAATTAATTAAAAATAATAAAAACTAAACTTTTTTAAGAAGAAGACAATATCAGAGGCTGTAGCAACAGCACTTGTTACTCTTGCGCATGACCTGAGTTCAATTCCAAGTACTCACATGGTGGCTCACAATTGTCTGCATTCTAGTTCCAGAGATCTGACTATCCTTCCCTGGCCTCTGTAGACAATACATGCATGTGGTGTATGGACATACATGCAGACGTGACACCTATACAAGTAAAATAAAAATAAGCAAGCATTTTTAAAACTTTAAAAGATGAAAATATTTTTAAAGGCAATAACATTAAAACTTCAACATGCCCATTGAATTTAGAGTCAAAGATAATTATGGTAATTTGACAAGGGGAAAATAAGAAGTCGATCAGAATCCAGGCTAGAGTTGACTGTAGACCCAGTGGGAGTAAGACAAGACAATGAATGGAGACAATGGATATATACCCTTCATTCCAGAAATGTAGTTACAGAACAAAAGGAAGAAAGAATGCAAACACCAACTGACCTCTGTGTCAGAAGAAACTTTTTCTTTTGTCATTTTTCAGTGGGTTATATTCTTGTGGCCTGTAGTTCTTACTTATAACATGTGAGATATAGTTGAGAATTAAAAATTGTATAAGTTTATAGTATACAACATATTTTAATATACATATTCTCTGTAAAATGATTACCACCATTGTTCTGGTTAGTTTTTTGCCAACCTGACTCAGCAAGAGTCATCTGGAAAGAGGGATCCTCAGGTGAGAAAATGACACCATCAGATTTGCCTTTGGGCGAGTCTGTGGGACATTTTCTTGTTTAATGATTTATATGGGAGGATCCAGCCAACTACGGGTGGCACCAATCCTGGTCCTGAGCTGAACAAGAAAGCAAGATGAGCAAGCCATTAAGTAGCACTCTTCCATGATCTCTGAATCAGTTCCTGGCTTGAGTTCTTGCCCTGACTTCCTTTCATGGTGGATTACAACTGTAAACTGAAATAAGCATTCCCCCCTAAAAAATGCTTCCAGCCATGGTGTTTTTAAAAACCAACAGAAACCTAAGACAACAGTCAAGTTAACTACTGCATTTATGACCTTTCAGTCACTCTTTTGTGATAAGAACATTCTTGTAATAATTTAAACAGTGTAAAAAATTTAAAAGATTTTTTAAATTATGGAGGGTGGAGGGGTATGTACATGTGAGTGCAGTGTCAACAGAGGCCAAAAGCAGGCATCAGATTCCCTGGAGCTGGAATTGGAGTTTACAGGTGATTGTGAGCCACTGAAGGTAAGTGCTGGAAATCTAACTAGGGTCCTGTGCAAGAGCAGTACACACTTATCAGCTACGTCATCTTTCTAGCTCACTGGGAGAACAGTTAGGATCCTTTGTCTTAACAAATTTCAAGAACATAAAACAATATAATAATCTGTATTATTATGCTGTAATCACAAACTGTAGACTATGCCTCTGAACTTACTCATTCTGTTTAACTGAAATTCTGTCACTTTGTATCTCTGCTTCTGTACCCCCCATACATACACGTGAGATCATGTGCTGTGTGTTCTCCTGGGCCTGACACAATTTCTTCAAGATTCATTCATTCCACTCACTCTTGAATAATAACTTCATGAGTGTGTGTGTGTGTGTGTGTGTGTGTGTGTGTGTGTTCTGTATTCATCTATTGGTGGGTGCTTAGGTTGACTTCGTATCTTGGCTATTGTAAATAATACTGCAGAGACAGCTCTCCAAGACAGCATTCCATTTCCTGCATATTCATACCATCAGTAGAATTGCTGAGTCATGGTGTGGTTCTGTGGTTGTGTTTCTAAGAAACCTCTGTACTATCTTCTATAACGCTGCGCTAACTTCCATTCCATCAACTGTGGTCAAAAATCCTCTTTGCTCCACACCCTTGACATTTGTCTTTTATAGTTTTGATAATAGCCATTCTAATAGATGTCAGGAAATCTCATGGTGGTTTGATTTGTGGTTCCAAGATGGTTATAATGTTGAAATATTTTTTAAGTACCTGTTGTCTATGTGTATGCCTTTTTTGTTGTTGGTGTTGTTAGCTTTGTTTTGTTTCATTTTGACAAGTGTGCTTTGGGTCCTTTCTCCGGTTTTTATTTATTTGCTTGAGATATTCAGCCATTGAGTTGTTTGAGTTCATAAAATAGCTGTTAATGGAAGTGTTGAATGTGTTTAAATGCTGGGGGGAAGACACCAAGGTCTACAGAAAGTGAGAGAAGATGGTCTAGAAAAAGATGCCAGATCAGCTCTCACAGAGGGTGGACTCCACCTAATTGTGTAAAGAATGGGAAAGCCAAGTCTGTGCTTTCTGACAAGCCTGTCCACTTCATGTCAGGAAGCTGAAAGTATTTTGGTCTAATGGATTCACTTTCTTGTGAAATAGAAAGAAAAATAATTGCCTGAACCGAAAGGGAAAACAGAGCTGTCAGAAGTTCAAGTTGAATGATGAAGAAATGGACTGCTGGAAAGAACAGGAAGTTGAGTAGGAGCCTGCCATGCTGGGAACAAAAGGCAGCAGGGCAGTGTTAACAGCATGGCTGTTCTCTTTTCTGAGGGGGTATCTGCAATAAAAAAAAGTCTTAGTACTGCATTTGATGTATCATAATGACATAAAAGTAGCAAGTTACATCTGTAACTTCAAAGTGGACCACCTCAGAATGAAGCTGGGGAGACTAATTGCCACCACCAATTGCTTATAAATGTGGACCATCAAGTTCAATTTATTAAGATCAATCTCCCATTATTGGGCAAATGAGATGGCTCACAAGAAGGCCTTCTTGGTAATCAGAGTTCAATCCCCACATGATGGAAGGAAAAAGGATTCCTGTAAGTTGTCCTCTGACCTCCACATGCACACACACACACACACACACACACACACACACACACACACACACACAATAATAATAATAAATTTAAGATGTAAAAATGTAATATTACAATTAATATGGTTAGTAGTTAGAAGTATTGACTTGGATATAGTCCAAAACTTTTTAGATTTTTTTTTGAAAAATAAAGTCATTTCTACTAAATTGACATTTCTGATTTGATCCACTTGCATAAATACTAACACTGGTTTTCTGTGAGCAGATCTGCCCTGAAGTTGGCACCACTGTCCAATAGACTGGCAGCCCAGAAGGAACCAAGGGGGAAGAAGGAAGAAGCCCATGGAAAGAGCTTGGTTCTTTGTGAGCACGTACAGCTGTGGCCACTGCCATCATTCATGGAGAGCAGGCTCCAGCTTCTTCAGCTGTTTTATGTAGACTCACACCAACCAATCCCCAGGGTAATTCCAGGCCTTAAGCCTTAGACTTGAGCTACATCCTTGGCTCCCTTGTTCTGGGACTTCCAGTTTCTTGGGCTAAGCAGATAATGAGTCTTCTGATTCTTCAACCTGCAGGTGGCCACTGTGGGACTACCCATCCTCTGAAATGTGATCTCGTAAATGCACTTTCAATAATAGATCTTCTATATTCATTTTATTGTTCAGACCTGATTTTAACTTATAAAAAACTTCTCAAAAGGACACCCTGTCAAGTAATTGCTTAAAAAAAAGTAAGAATTTATTGGGTGGAGGGCAGGGTAGAAAGAAAATAAGGACCAATTTGTACAATCAGGTAACAGATGTCATGATCCACTCGAGAAAGTTGTTTCCTCTCCAGAGCACAGGAACCAAGTATTGGGGAGACTTGTGCCCAAGATAAGAATGCTCATCATATTCTGAAGGCTATAGAAATTTACTGGTGGAAGCTGTGGAATAACATAATGAACTCGTGTTACAGAACAACCTCCCTAGTTAGGTAGAAGGTATTCAGGAAAGCTTGAAGCGGGAAAGTGAACCAAAGTTTCTGATTGAGAAAGATGCAATAGAAAAAAAAGGCCTGAACCTTCGAGAAACATTAAATGGGGCTAAAGTCACAGAGTTGGTGGGAAGGAGGGAAAGAAGGGAGCCCACGCCAATGGTAACAGCATATTCTGAGCGTGAAACAGATGTCAGCATGCCTTCCTGACAATTTATAGCAGGAAATTATGTCCGAGGAAAAGGTTGTGAGCTCAGATTTTCCAAGAGTGAGTTAAGAATGTCTATATAGGATAGCCATACTGGATCATCACGAAGTAAATTCTGTCCCTCAGAAGACAGATAACAGCTGCAAACACGTGTGAGGAATCATTAAAACATAGTGGACATGGATGAGAGCATATCCCCAAAAAGGGGGAGAAAAGGGGAAATGCTAGAGAAAGCCAGAGGAACCATATAAATTCCTGCACACTGTACCAACTAAGAGATAGTGAATGGCCCTCTTAGGGGACAGGAAAATACTGGGACCAAGATAACATTTACCCCATCCTTATCCTAGTCAACCCACACTGGCTGTTCAATTCGTAGTGGTTGGCATTGAAACCACAGCAACAACAAAAACAGACTCTGACAATTCTGTGTGTGTGTGTGTGTGTGTGTGTGTGTGTGTGTGTGTGTGTGTGTGTGCGTGCGCACACGCGCGCGCGCGTGTGTGCGTGCATACATGGGAATGGTTTGAGAAAGGAAACCTAAGTGGGGCTAGAGGAAGGGGAAAGGAGGGAGAAAATGGTGTGGTTCTATTTCAATTAAAAACATTAAAATAAAATTAAATAAAAGGGAAACAATAGAGCCATTTGACAGATTTTAATCATTTTTCTCAATGATTTGTTTCATTCCTTAATTGTAAGTAAAATTACTTTTCTATCATAGCACCTAGGTTAAGGGAAATCAGTTGGTATTGTTTGCTTACCTTTTAAAATCAAGAACCTGAACCGATCTAACCATCATTTAATACTTGCATGATTTGTGTTCTATGGACATGCATCAACAGAGCTGAATGCAGTGTGGCACTGCAAAACAACCCATGGTGATTAAATGACTAACTTTGTCCCACAGGTGCAGCCACATGTTTATGCAATGTAACTGTTCTCTTCCACCCACCGAAAGGATAATCTTGATTCCATTTCTTGAGTCTTTGCAGGGAGTAGGAGTGTTTGTTTTTAATGTGGTTTGGTCAAAGGCCCATTACAAACATGTAATAGACAGAGATTTTTTTTCTTTTAAAGAATGGTGTTCGGGGGTTGGGGATTTAGTTCAGTGGTAGAGCGCTTGCCTAGCAAACACAAGGCTGGGTTTGGTCCTCAGCTCTGAAAAAATAAATAATAAATAAATAAATAAAGAGAGAATGGTGTTCAGGGAAACTTTACCTTTTCTGCAACTTTATCTGTATGTATACACACGCACACACACACACACACACACACACACACACACACACATATATATATATATATATATATATATATATATACTTAAACATATTTGAGAGTTTGTAGACATACCTTAAATCTTGGCAATTAAGTGTCTTGGTTTAATTAACTAATAGTCTGGGTTACATCAGAGATAGGCAGTTCTAACAGGGTTTCACTCAGTGGTGACACGTTCTTCAACTTCATAATTTTAATGAAGGCATATGATGAGGTTTTAACACTTCATCTTAGCCAAAAGGCTGAAAAACAGTCATTTGAAAAAAATCTAAATAACACATTGATACTCATTAATGAAGTTGTAGTTTTGTTTCAAAGTCAATAGATCTTTGAAGACCTATTTGGAGAAAGATGCCACCAAAGATCCACTGAAAATTTTAGGATGACAATTTTCAACAACAAAAAAACTGTCGTGCCACAAAATGTCAGCAGGATTCTTTCAGAAGCACTCTCCTCTCACAAGATGAAACTAGTTTTCTTAAAATAATAAATTATGAAGTTTATAAATCATTCCTCTTTGCATTGCCTATAATCTCTCCCATTTAGGAGACATTGAAATGTGTTTGTTGAGTAAGTGAATGATTAGTGGGCCGCCTGTCCTGTCTGGGACTCTGGTGTATGTGGCGATTGTACTTCAGTGCGTGTGATCTGACCCATGGTCTGACTGACTTGGTTATCAGTGAGTCTTTTCATAACAAAGTTCTGCCTGCGCAGAAACAGCTGTCGCCACAAGTAGGACCCTCCCATTCCGTTCAGCAGGGTAATAGAAAATTTTCTTTGAACAAAATTGGGGCTGAAGAGATGGCTCAGTGGTCGTGATTTTAACCTTCCAATGTGAGATGAGTCCTCTGTTACTTCTGTGGGTAACCTCACACTGTTGACCACCCAGTAATGCTCCCAGAGCACAGGCACATCTGGTGGCCTAGTGACCTCTTACCTGCTGTGTATGTAGAAGGACAGAGGACTGTTGGGCAGCATCACTTTCACATCAATCATAACTTTATCCTTTCTACTGGTGAAACTCCCTGCTGGGTGTGGCAAGAAAAAGTGAATTCCAGTTCCTCATATCTTTTCTTACCTATATAAGTTTCTATGAAAGACAATGATCAACTTTCTTGTTTAAAAGTCACTTCAACTTGAAAAGAAAGAAAAATAATGCTAACTGATCTTCCAGAGGACCAGAGTTCAGTTCCCAACATCATTTTCAGGCAGCTCACAATCACCTTTAGCTCCAGATCCAGGGGATCTAATGTCCTCTTGAAGCCTTTGTGGGCATGAGCATGTGCGTGCGCGCGTGCGCACGCGCACGCACACACACACACACACACACACACACACACACACACACACACACACACACGGGGGGGGGGAACAGAGAGAGAGAGGAGAGAGAGAGAGAGAGAGAGAGAGAGAGAGAGAGAGAGAGAGAAGAAGAAGAAGAAGGAGGAGAAGAAGAAGAAGAAGAAGAAAAGAACACATCTGCCAACCTAACCCTAACTTCCAACAAATTTAAAAATTATGTATATAATTACAGACATAATTACAGAAATGACATTATCTTTACATTTAGCAATAATATTGGTAGTAGAAAACCCTTTGCCTGGCCAAATATTCTTTCCACATTGTACCAGCATTCCCTTGGCTGGCAGCTGGAGCCTGTTTGCAGAGCCCCCACATATGTGTGATGGCAGATGCACACTGGTGCTCTACCCATCACCCTCATTATGCAGCGTCACTTGCTGTTCCAGTCTTCTGCCCGTCAGCACTCAGGGTTCCAGAAGCACACTGGGTCCCATGCAGTCTTCCTTCATGGGGTCATCATGATTCCTCTTCAGTTCCCTCTAGTTTTGCTCTCCACCCTGTGAAGAAGCAAGCATTGCCTATGTGCATCCCCTGTTGTCATGTGCTCTTCACACTGCCCAGTCTCAACCACACATTTACACTGGCTGATTTGGGTCCTCACTGCCTGACTTCCCCTTTTAAAGTTAAATACCATTAACAAAAGCAACTGACAAAGCCAAGAAATCATTGATTCTGCTAATTAACAGCTTATTTCTGGAAGCACCAGGCATTGTTCTAAATGTGGGAATGTAACAATACGCAAAGTCACTTCCACAGTAAAGCTTTCCTTGCAGTGGAGCATGCTTCTCTTTCTACTGCAGGACACAGGTCGTACGCATATTTCAGTATCAGGCCACCACACCACATCAGTACCCATGGCAGCATTCTGGAGACCCTGCACTGTGGTCTGACTCAACTCCCACTCCTCCTTCTGGATTTCCTGGGCCTCCCCAATCGCCAATAGAGAAAAACTCATGGTGGCTTTTCACAGCTGCCAATCAAAGTGAGCAAGTGGTCCCCTGCTTCCTTCCTGCATGCTCAGGCATGGTATTATTCTTCTCAGACCTCAGGCTAGCCTGTGGCCCCATATTTATTCTGCCAAGATTTTCATCTGTTTTAAATATGTGTTTGCCTCCATGCCACCACTGCACTCTAGGAGTGAGGTGTGGGGCCTCCCACTGCCTCACCCTCTCCCTATGTGTGGTTTTCAAGCATCACTACTCACCAGCAATCCAACAACACTAATATTTTCCTACCACAAGACTTCTTTCGACAGATTCCTACCTACCCAACTTCATGTTTAAAAGCAGGCTTATCAAATTCCCAAATTCATATTCAAAACAGTTAAATATAACATCAACCATTTTTATAAATGTGTCGTTCTCAGCATTCACCCTACATGTGACATGAAAAGTTGAAGTGAGGGAGAAGAATACTCTAAAACTGGTTATAATATAAACATGGTCTTGGAGATAAATTAATTATAATTGCATAAACTACTTCTCATCCTAACCTGGATAGTACATGCAGATACTTGTAAAAAAAAAAAAAATTACGTGAGAGTGATTCCTATCCATCAAGGCTGGAACCATGAAGTAGCAAAATAGCAAGTGTTTGCTGCATACCTAATTTTATATTGATAACAATCTGCTAATTATAATTTTTAAAAGAGCAAAAACATACACTCCAAAGATGCTTAAAACTCTAATAAAGAAAAGAGACCATAATGAAAGGAAAATATTAAATGACCAACAACAAAGCAGGATTTTATACTATTTCAGCAAAATCATAAGAATTTTTAAAAAGTCAAGATTGACAGCAGTTTAGTGCCACCACTAATACGCACCATCTGAGCAGGGCTCATCTGAGGAATGAAGGAGCCTCAGAAAGCCATGTGTTCTCAGGTAAGGGGTCCAGGCTTGAAACCTTGTCCTTGGGTTCAACAACATGAGGCATTAAGATAAGAATTAGCACAAAAGGACAGCTTCTAGTGTGTGGGAAATACTGTCCTTTGACACATAGCCCCTTAAATGCTCACATGAAGCTTGGTCCCTAGTATGATGGTGGTGGAGTTGTGGTGCCTGTAAGAGGTGGAGCCTTGTGGAAGGTCAGGAGTCTCTGTCCTCATGGGTTGATCATGAATGATTACAGCTCCAGAATGGACCAAGTTCCCCGTGTTTGGATGAGTTTCTGAGAAAAAATTTGTTTTGAAGAGTGAGCTCTTTTCAGCTCCCCACTGTTATTTTGCCTCCTTGTCCACACATGCACCCATTCTGCACGCTATTGGTTCCTACTTCCACATCACGTCATTTTGTCACCAGGCCAAAGGGTTCCTCGTCAGATACCAGCTATCACATGGCTCACCATTTGTGCTTTCCAGTTATCAGAATTATAAAACAAACACACCTTTTTCTTATAAAGTGCTCAGGCTCAGGCACTTGGTTATAGAAAAACAAAATGTACCAAGAGTTTTTGAAAATCATTCCCATGTTGGAGAATTTGTATCATGGCAGTTAGAAGCTGGAGATTGTGCTCTTAACTTTCTTTGGAGCTAGGAAACATTGCTTCCGGAGCTGAAACTCTCCAGTGGACTCATGTCAGTCCTGAGTTTAAAAGAAAATGAAGTATATGAGGAAAGGGGTACAGTGTTGAATTGGTGCTGGCGAAAACAAGAGACTGGGCCTTGGGAAGCTGTGACAGTGTCCTGCTCCTACCGGCCCCTGAAAACTTCAGAGCCTAAACTCGACAGACAGATCTCTCAGGAGTTGGCAACTCTCCCTGGCTATAAGACAACCAAGGTGAAGCCTCTAATCATCAGAGACTTTGGAACATATCCTCCAACAGACTTCATGTTCAGAAATGATTTCTGTTATTTTCACCTCAAAACTTTAACAGTAGCATGACTGACAAGAACAGAATGCATCTCCAATCAATGTTTCCCTAGGAAGAAAGGAGAAATGAATATTAGTAAAATACTGAGTTCATAACAAGTTCATGAAAACTACAGGGAGAAGCAATCAGCACAAGGATATATGGAGAGATGGTGAATTTAATACAAAGATGGAGCATGCAGAAAAACATTGGCATAAGTATCTGATGGGGATGGCAGCGTTCTGGTACCTTCTGCACTTAGAGCTTTCCTCTGTACCTCATCATGTTAGTTAAGCTCCATCTCTGCAACCCCTGACTTACCTGCTTTCTTTATGTCAGCCTGCCTTTGCCAACGAGAAACTGCCCAAGACAGGAATGTGAGACCAGAGTCCATTGTCTTGACTTCCTCCTTGCAAGGGATCCTGGACTGAAGCCTGCTTGGACCAAAGGTCCTGGCTCCTGTCAGGCAGACTATTCTCACTGCATTCTTTCTTTGAGAATCTCTTCTCTCTCTTAAGATAAGAAATGATAACAGAGTGCAAAGGCACTCATGCTTGACCCCTGCTTTGTTTTAAACCTTTTACATTTCTGTTCTATACCACATCTGAAAAAAATCCCTTCATCAGCTCTCCGCCATCGGCCCGTTGAGTGCTGTCACTCTGACTGGGGCACTGACTGATGCAGCAGTACTATCGGAGGACAAATGTCCTACGGGAGCGTAAAAGCCTACAGGGGAAATAAGCTCACAACCTTCAGAAGGGTGGATAACACTGGGCGGTGGGGAGGAAAAGAAGGTAATTAGAGAGAATGGTCAACAGGAGACAGTGTGGGCAGCAACTGAGCGTGTAGAATGCGTCTTATGGAGGTTTATGCTTAGTCTTGGTCTTGTAGATGTGTTGTGTATGAATATGAAATGCCTTGCACTGGCTCCTGTACTAAGGTTGAGGTCCCCAGTACGGGCACTATTATGGAAGGTGCTGCAAACATTGGGGTGTGGGGCCTGTCAGAAGGAAGTAGACCAGTGCAGGCAGATCCTTCTCTTGCTCCAGCCCCTCCTTTTCCATTTCCTGTCTGCTTACCACTGGCCTAGGTTGGGGCCACAGGACAGTGACAAGAAAGCCTGGACCTCTGAACCAAAATAGATACTTCCTCCCTTAAGTTCTTCATATTAAGTATGTCACAGAAAAGAAACTCAGGAACAAAACACCAATGTGTTCTGTGTTGCTTTCATGATTTTTAGGAAATCATAAAATCGTTTTCATGATTTTACATGATTGTAATCTGTAACTTAACAATTGTTCACTTTTAATAAAAGTGTTTATTTTAATAAAGACCATCTTATCAATCTTCCAATTTAAGCCTTTGCCTGCCTATAAATATGTATTACAGTAGTACTATTTTAAGAATCTCTTCAAATATTCCCTGTGTCATTTCCTAAAAACTAGCCTTCCCCCTCTTATACTTCCTGGTCTGAGATGTGCCTGCTCATTCTTTCCACTGTTACCTGCCATTCACTGTGAGGTTCTCACCAGAATGGATCCAATGCAGAAATGTACGTGAAATGAACCTACTGTCTTTGAAAAGTTCACGTCTCCAGCATTTCATTATAGTGACAGATAACTAATACGCTATCATCCAGAACCACTACAAAGTGAAAAATCAGCCTTCTCTTGTGTAACATAACAAAGCAAAGTCCCAAAAGTGAATGTCTTCACAGCTAAAAGCTACTGGTGAATTTTCAGTGAAGTTTACTCATTGATGACACAGCTTTCACTTCACGTTGCTCCAGCTGCATGTTAGAACACACTGAAAGTGTTAGAAATTCAAGAGTGTGGTGCTGGTATCAGACCAGAGCAAGATACTTTGACATTTACTTATAAGACAAGAAACAGTTGATTAAATGATAGAAAGAACTTATACCCCAGAAGACTGAAGAGACAAGGGTGTGTCAGGTTTAAAGAGAAAGAGGAGTAGAAACATAAAATACAAATAAATTAAGAGATCTGGAATGGTTCCATAGAGAGGGCCTGCACAGTGGAAGTCAGACTTGGGTCATTCCTAAGATTGTAAATTAATAATCATAAAATAAGGCAATATATATGGATATTTGCTGTTAAGTAAATGATAACTGAGGCACAATCCATATAACCATAGAGCTTAGGCTGAAAGTAAAGGAGTAGGGGGAAAGGAAGAGATGTATTTCCCAAGGAAGATGGAATAGAATAGAAAGTTATGAATGGCGGGGTTGGATGACTCGAACAGGAGGATCAAATAGGAAGTGGGAGGGAAAAGCAATCTAAATGAAATCATCAAATGACGGGGAAAACAGAGCCCCAGATGGACATTCATCACCCATGAATCTTTCAGTACTGAGAATGGGTTACATATAATCAAGTTCTTGGCTAAAGGGGTGCCATGGGAACCTCCAAATAATCCAAGCTATTGCAAAGGCTATTAATTGCTCACCACAAACTGATGGTAAATTCCTATTCAATTCATTGAACATGGAGAAGTTGAGCTGGTGCCCATCTAGAGCCTTCACTCCTACGTACTAGTGTTCATGGTACTGGAAGTACTATGCTCACTACCAAAAGAGAAAGGTAAATACAAACTCTTTAATCAACAATGAGGACCTGCCTACAAAATACGCACAACAGTGGCACAAAGTTTTTTGGAGTAACCGACCACTACCTGCACTAGATAGGCAGCTGGAGCTGAAAGAAGCAGGCAAAGCCCCCAGCCCTAGCCCAGAAGCTGTCTCCAAATGGGAGTCTCAGTGAGCCGGGCGGTGGTGGCGCACGCCTTCAATCCCAGCACTCAGGAGGCCAGCCTGGGCTACAGAATGAGTTCCAGGAAAGGCACTCAGGAGGCCAGCCTGGGCTACAGAGTGAATTCCAGGAAAAGCATAAAGCTACACAGAGACACCCTGTCTCAAAAAAAAAAAAAAAAAAAAAAAAGGGAGTCTCACTGGAGAAATGAACCACTCTTAAGGGTAGACTCCCATGTCAGAAGATGGCCAACACAGAACTAACTCAGTGGGATCTTTGAAGGGTCTTTGTCTCAAAATGTTGAGTCGGGGCTTTTTTCTTTTTATTCCTTCCTTAAAAAAAAAAAAACTTCGTAGACTCTTTGCATATATTGTATGGATTCAGGTTTTGTGTTTTTATAGGATTCCTGTGTGTGCAAACATGTGTGTCTATGTGACTGTATGTGTTTCCTGAACTTTTTCTTTGGTTCTTTTTCCACTGTTTGTTAGTTTTGTCCTATTCCAATATGTTTGGTTTTTTATCTTATTTTAATATTATTACTTAGATGCCTCTTTTTTCTATAAAAAAAAAAGATAAAAGGGTGTGGATCGGATGGAAGGGAAGGGGAGGTGAAAAGGAACTGAGATGGGTGGGGGGATGGGGACCTAAATCAGATACAGGGTAAAATAAAGCAAGCAAGAAAATGACAATGAAGAGGGTGAACTAGCCAGCCAATCAACCTGAGCGCTGGTCTTGTCAGAGACTGATGGAAACTGTGCAACATTTGAGAGTAGCTGGAGCGCAATGGTATTAGAGGAAAAATCAAGGGATGAACACATGGGCAATGGATTGCCAGCAGTCGTGAAATTTCTCTGAAGAGAAAATAAAGTTCGTTACCACAGCCTCACCAATCAAGATATGTTAAAGACAAGTACCTTGCACAGTTGCACGTAAGCCACCAACACCCAAAGGTCAAGGACATCGCAATTATATGCCCAGAAATGACTTCTTCTTTAAGGCATATTTAAGGCCATGGAAGGTTTGATATTAAAGGAAAGCACCACACACATATTGTGACCCCCATTTTACTTGAAAGTATTTCACCAAATCTCTATAATGAAAGAACAACACAGCAGCCCTAATGAGTGCACTCTGTCATTTTAGCTGTGTGTAGATGTGTGTGTGTGTGTGTGTGTGTGTGTGTGTGTGTGTGTGTGTAGATGCGGGTCCAGGGGCCCAGGAACAGGGAATGTGTTACCCTCCTGCTGTCTTTATTGACAGCACACAGTGCTTGTTTGTTTGTTTTTATGTCTATGAGTGTTTTCTCTGCGTATGAGCTGTCATATGGGTTCACAGAATGATACCCTGACCCTCTCCAAGACTAACAAGTGCTCTTTACTACTGATCCATCTTTTCAACACCTTCCTCTGTCTTTGTGGACAGTGTCGGCTAAGTGACTTCTAGACACTTGAATGATTGCAGGTCCATCCTCCTTCAGAACCTCATGGTACTTTAATATGGCAAAAGTTTCTGATACTAGAATCATAGTCTAGTCCTTACTGCTCATCTATAACCGTTTCTGTCTCCATGGGGAAAAAAAGCTACAGTGTAACTTAGATCATGGCTCCTCTCTCTTAGCTCTAGTCTAGTCTCAAGGTGGAGGTACATTTACCACCAGCTCTGGAAGCCATGTTTATGGCCTCAACTCATGCTGCCATCAAGAAGTGTGCGACCAGCTGTTCATAAACACCATATAAATGTTTGGTAGCAAAAGAGTCACCCAGTTTTGCTGCTAGTACCCAGTCAGAAAGCCATCTCTTAAAGAAGCCATGTCTCTGTTCACCACCAGCAAACAGAGCCCATCAGAGAGAAGACAGCTACCAAGAAGCTGTGCTTGACTCTGTTCTTATGTGTTTATAACCCTTTTTAAGCTTTGTCAAGTTTTATGTGGAAATTTCAGCCCCACAATGGCATGCCATATATAAACAGATGTTTCTTGTCCCAACTGCCTGATCCCAAATAATCACTCAGAGGCTAAACACAAATTATAAATGCTTGGCCAATAGTTCAGGCTTATTACTAACTAGCTCTTACATTTTAAGTTAACCCATATTCCTATTTAAGCTCTGTCATGTGTCAGTACCTTTATTAGCATGGCATGTTCATCTCCTGCTCCCTCTGCATCTCCCTGGTGACTCCTTTGATTCTGCCCTTCTTCCTCTCTGTGTCTGGCTATCCCACCTAATCTTCCTGCCTGGTTCCAGTCCTGTTAGCTTTTTATTAACCAATGAGAGTAATAAATACTCACAGTACACAGAAGGATTGTTCCATGGCAGGCAGTATTCTTCTGTGTGTATCTCTTTGCCTCAGTCTAGCAGTCTAGAAGAAGATACTTCTCAGGAACTGGGACAAGCAGGGAGACAATGGACAGGTGACTTTATCCTAATACCATTGCTGTTTACTAAGTGATATAAAAACTGTCCCCAACCACTTGAGCTACATCATCAGCATTGAAACACTGTAAAATTAGAAGGGACTTTCAAAAGATTGTGCTCTGTTGTTAGAAACTTAGATGGTCTTTTAATAAAAAAAAAAAAAAACAGAGCCAGATATCAGGGTGAAAGCTGAAAGATCAGAGAAGCAGAACAGCCAGCTACTAGTTCTTACCTCTATAAAATTATCAGCCTGAAGAGTGAGTTCTTGTTTCCTCACACTTTATATACCTTTCTCTGCCCAGACACCATTTCCTGGGATGAAAGGCATGTGTGCTTTCTATGCAAAGGCATGAGATCTCAAGTGCTGGGATTAAAGATGTGTGCCACTACTGCCTAAACTCTATGTCTAATCTAGTGGCTGGCTCTGTCCTCTGATCCCCAGGCAAGTTTATTAGGGTACACAATATATCACCACATTTCTCCTTTTTTATCTAAAATAATAAAAGAAGGTTATAACTAATATAAGAAAAACTATATACAATGAGTATATACAATTTATACAGTCAAGAATTATATTAACAACATCCAGTCCATTAACATTTGGCAGATTCAGAGAAAATACTCCATTATTTATTCTATTTTGGTGAGTCCAAAATGTTGTACCTAATTCACTTTCTATCTTAACCTGTATTACCAACCAAAAGCTATCTTTTGATGTCTTTCAAACTTAAACACTTTACACCTCTTTAGTGAGTTTCTTTTCTGAATTTGTTAACAGAAAAAACTATGACTATATTTATCCAGTCTTCAACTCTATCAGAGACCCAAGAAAGAAAGAATAGTACCTAAGTAAACAGGAAGTACAGGCAAGCAACTTCCAAAAATACAAGAAATGACAGAAACAGCTGGCTGCCTTGACAGTCACCCAAGGTTCCTCTGCAACATTGGGGCATCCATCTTCAACCAACAGGCTTAGTGTATCTGACAGATTTATCTGTGCAGCAAGATTTTCCAAAGGGCCTTCCTACCTTGTCTTGGCAAGGTTCAGCAGTCCTTTCTTTTGTGTCCTTCTTGTCCATTTGGACAGCATACTGGCAGCAGTCAAGGCAAGGGCATTTTCTTGCCCAGTGGCTTGCTTTTGCCACAAAGAAAGTAAACTCCATATGGAGTGTCTTCGATACCTATCATCTTCTCTGAAGTAGATTGGTGCTGCCAGGAGCAGACATGTCTCATTGTCATTAAAAAAAAGAATCTATGTTACTAAAACATCTTAAATGCCATATTCTGTAGATCTCTGAAGTTTTGAAGATGATCTGTTTATCTAAAATATATCTGTTTGACCTTGAAAACATACCTAACCTGACATTGAAATGGATGATTAACAACTAACCTGCATTTCTTTCTATCCTAATTAGTTGGTAATAATAACTTTCAAGAACTAGCAATTTGCATTACATTGTTAAATGAACTGTATAGATACAATACCTTGAACAAGAGTAGAAATATATGTACAGTACATTCTAACAAAATTCATCTCAAATTTGTATCAATATACAAAATCTGTACACAATATACAAAAATCTAATCCAATGTAAAATATTTAAAACTAGTAGTTGCTTTCTAAAAGTAGAGTGAATAATCCACCTTTTTATCTTATCATATCTATATCCTCTCCTTTTATCTTTTCAGGGTAGATTCAACAATCTACCCTTTATCCATCATTTCTGTAACTTTTTTGTTTGTTTTTTGTTTTTGTTTTGTTTGCTTTTTTTAAACAAGAACCCCAAATCTAATTTCCTTTGTTCAGCTTTATTCCTGACCATTAACAATTAACAAATTGTAACCAACCCTCCTAAACAATGACAATTATCCATAACCCATTGACAGACCAAACACTACCTGTAGGAATATTGGCATCATGTTCTTAAAATTACTTCCTGCTCTCTTGGGGTTGAGGGGATCCTGAAAAGAAAAATTTTGGGTTAATTGTCAAGTCCTGGGAGAGGTATCTATATCATTTGTTGTCCAGTCTCTGCATAATGGAAAAGTGCAGGGCTTGTCTCAAGTTCTTGCTCTAGTAGTCTGTGAAACTGGATCATCTCAGCTAATCATCTCGAAATTGTCCTGAGCAGTTTGTAGTCCAAAGCTAATCTTTGGATGGTGTTTGTCATCTTAGTGGTATCATCATCGTCCTGATGGAATTGTGGTTGTGGGGTCTCGTTATCTTTTCAAAGACTTCAAAGATCACATGGGTCAGATTATTCCTTTCCTTGGTAATTTTTTCCAGGTAGTTCTCTCTTCTTCTTTGGATGTTTATCTGTTCCAATGTCTTTAAATTCTTCAAGATGGTTGTTTTAATTTTTCTGAATAACAAAAACAAAATCCTTCTCCAACCACAACTTTGGGGAGGTTCCCAATATAATCTTTATCAATGTTGATTTATGGTTTCTCCTGAATTTTTTTTCTCTCTTCTATAGCTGTCCTATCATCCAGAGCAGTATGGGGTATTTTTTGTTTGTTTGCTTGTTTGTTTGTTTGTTTGTTTTATAATAGGCATTAGGCTCTTTAATTGCTCTGGGAAGGGGTTTCTTCTACGATAACAGGAAAGGACTAAACCAAATTTGTCATGGGGACCTACAGAAGGTGCCTCAGGGAGTTTCTTGACAGCAAAGACAAAGGATTACCTTGTCTGTCCCTTGTTGATCTACATTCATTAGTCCAATGTTTGCCTTTGCCACACCTTCTGCATAATCCAGAAGGGAGGGGTGTTCTGTTGGCATTGTTCCTTGAAAAAACATTGTTTCTAGGAACGCCCTGTTTACAGTCCCTTTTTAGGTGACCTTGTTTATCACAGTTGAAACATCTGACATTACTATTTTTCTTCAAAACTCTGGAAATGACCTCTCCTATCCAAGTATCATCATGGTCAAGAGAGTCAATATTCATTGTATCTCAGATCCATTCCTCCAAGGGTGCTGATCTTGCCTTTAATGGCCTAATTATTCTTTTGCATTGTGCATTAGCATTTTCAAAAGCCAGAGATACAATTATTATCTGTCTAGCTTCTGAATTTGGTATCATTCTATTTACTGCTGAAGGCAGCCTTTGTAAGAAATCAGTGAAGGTTTCTTTTAGGCCCTGTATAACCTTTGTAAATGACTCAGTTTTCTTTCCTGCTTCTTCAGTTCTGTTCCAAGCATTCAAGGCTGCCATTTGGCATAATGCTAGGGTGTAGTCATCATATAGAGATTTCCTTTCTACATTATCATAATCTCCCTCTCCAAGAAGTTGACCTTGGGAGATTTCCATACTCTAGCCCTACTCCCTTGTTCTATAGTATTAGCCTCCTCTTTCCACCAGGTTCTCTGTTGTAACTGTGGACCACCTTCTAAGATAGCTGTAATGAAATCTCTCCAGTCTATTACAAGTTGACCACAAATTTAACATCTACTTCACAAATGAGAAATGCATACCATATGACACTATAGATTCTTTAAATCTTCTCAAATCTAACATTTGCCCAGGAGTCCAGTCAGCTCTTACATAGCCTTGAACATTTGGCAGTTCCTGTAAGGTTACTGGATAGATTAAGGTTGACTGTTTGAAAGCCTCATGCTGTATCTCTCTGTAACCATATAATGGAATGCTGAGATTGGTTCACCTTTAAATTCTTCTGTCTGGGCCTGAATATCTCTATGATCTGTTTTAACAAATTTTTCTAAAATTTTCATCTTAGCACTCACATTAACCAACTTTTTAAATGATAAAACAGAAATGACCAAACAAATAATATTTATAATTGATATTACATAAATCCCATCTACATTAATTATCCTCTCATTTAATTGTTCCATTTTCAGACTGTCAATTGTATTATCAAACAGAGACCAAATTACCTCCATTGAAAAAATGTTTCCCATTTTTTAATTTGGGGAAAGAAATTCTTTTTTAACTAATTTCTCCTTTTAAGAAATCCCAATTGTCTCACTAAATCTTCCGACAATGACAATTCAGATGTGAAGCTAACTGCTTCTGTGCAGAACAGTAGAAGCCTGAGTGGGTTTCAAGGTAGCTACCTAGTGTGGTAGCAGCCCAAAACCCTGGAGAGCCCACAACCCACCAGGAGAGAAGAAGCCAAAAAACCAGTCATCTGCACAAGGGAATATGAGAAAGCAGCTAACTCCTATGGTTTTTGGAGCCCAAAAAACTAACGGAGTTTGCTGAATAGAGACTGCAACAAAAACTTAGCCAGTGGGCTAGGGACTCTGGCCCACATGGGGTGGAGACTCCAGCCGCTTGTAGCTTGGGCCTGAACCGGGGAATTCAAGGCCACAGGCAAGTGGCATTTTTGTGAACTCATGTCCCACAAGTTGGATGCTAGATACTGTTCAAATCTTAGTTAGTCTTTTAATAAAAATCCCAGAGCCAAATATCAGAGTGAAAGTTGAGAGATCAGAGTAGAACAGCCAGTCACTAGTTCTTACCTCTACGAAATCCTCAGCCTAAAGAGAATGAGTTCCCGTTTCCTCATGCCTTATATACCTTTCTCTGCCCTGCCATATTATTTCCTGGGATTAAAGGAGTGTGTGCTTCCCAAACAAAGGCATGAGATCTCAAGTACTGAGATTAATGGTGTTTGCCACCACTGCCTAGCTCTGTTTCTCTGCTATACTGAATCAATCTCATGTAGCCCAGTGTGGCCTATATTTGTGAGTCTAAAGTTTCTTATCTAATTTATCTTTTATTATAACCAAGGAAAATTATAACTATTTAGTCTTCAGCTACATCAAAGACCCCAGAGGGATATAACATTACCTAAGTAAACAGGAAGAGCATTGTAACCAACTTCCAAAAATCTAGAATGACAGAGATAGCTGCCTGGACAGTCACCCCAAGTTCCTCTGCAATGTTGGGAATTCATCTTCAGCCTATAGGCCTAGAGTCTCTCTGTCACTTTTCCTTGTGTCCTGTAGAATGTTGGGCAGTCTCCTCTGCAAAGCAGGAACCTGAAGGAACATCTTACCTTGTTTTGGCAAAATTTAGTGGTCATTTTTTATGGGTCCTGCATGTCCAGTTGATACAACATTTTATCAAGCAGTCCAGTCAAGAACAGTTTCTTGCCCAAATGGCTAACTTTTGCTATAAGGAAAGCAAACTCCATATGGAGTTTCTTCAATGCCCATCATCTTCTTTGAAGTAAATTGGTGCTGCCAGGAGCAGATGTGTCTCACTTTCCAGAAAGTCTAAATTTTTAAAATATTTTAAATGCCATATTCTGTAGGTCTTTGAAGTGTTTGAAGATTACCTACCTAATTGAATTATATCTTTATATACCTAAAAAACTTAACTAACATGACTATAAGTTTGGTTATCATAGATGACTATTAATCTGTATTTCTTGATTATATTTTACAATTTTAAAAGAATTGCATAAACATAGTACCTTAAACAAGTGTTAAAATATACATGCAGTATAACAAAATAAACTTTAATTTTTAAACTCCATAGCACTGTAAAACATTTTAAACAAGTTGTTGTTCTTTAAAAGTAGATTCAATAATCTACTATTTCATCCTATCAAACCTATAATATCCCCTTTTCTTCTTTAGAAAGAGATTGCATTTATGATGAACACCCTTTAAATAAAAATAAACATTTATAAACAATATTTTAAGAATTTGGGCATAGCTTCTCATACTACTTCCTGCTGATTGGGGGCATTGTCAATCTTATGGGGATCCTGAGAAAATTAAGAATTATAGCTAAATCTTGGCTGTAGTGGCCTGTGAGGATAGATCATCTCAGCCAGTTGCCCTGAGGCTAATTTTGGATGTTGGATCATGGTGTTATCAGAGACCTTTCAGGGAGTCTTGGCTGATCAAACCATATTAGCCTCAAAGCAATCCGTAGGTTCTCATCTTCTGTAGGAACAAAGGCAGAACCTCTTTTCCAAAGCAACATATCCTTAGACATAAATTTTAAAGTCAAGATATCGTTAAAATACATATATTGGTTTAATTTAGCAGCCTTTACAATCAAATGTCTTTCTGTAGTTAAAAATCCCAATGACAATATAATCCAGACTTGGTATGTGATTTCCATCTTTATGTGGCTTATCTTTTATATTACTGTCTCTTTAAAAACTTTATTTTGCCGGGCGGTGGTGGCGCACGCCTTTAATCCCAGCACTCAGGAGGCAGAGGCAGGCGGATCTCTGTGAGTTCGAGGCCAGCCTGGTCTACGGCGCGAGATCCAGGAAAGGCGCAAAGCTACACAGAGAAACCCTGTCTCGAAAAACCAAAAAAAAAAAAAAAAAAAAAAAAAACTTTATTTTTAAAACTATCTATTTCTTTATATAACTGCCTATCCTACTTTTCCTCTCTCTTCCAAGCCTATGTACATTTTTATATACAATGTAAATCATTTAGAGGTTTATTCCATCTGATCTGTCTTACGCATATCTATAATCCTTTTCCGGTCATTACAAACTGCAGCATGGCTAAGATTGAAGTGGCAGCCCTGGCTGCTGACTTCACCCACTTCAGCTTCCCAACATGACGGAGGTACCCAGGAGAGTCACACTTACCCCGCCAACTCTGGGGTCCATGCTGCCATCAGGTAGCATGCAGCTAGCCTATAAACCTTTTTTGTCTGTATGAGTAAAAGCTAAATCCACAACACAGCATGCTTCATGGCTTGGAGACACCTCTGTGTACTGTGGCAATAATCTGCCATGCTATCGGTCAAGCACACAAGCACATATGACCCGACATACTGTGTCTCACAGCTTGCCTAAGAGATACAACTAGGAAGCTGTTTTTAGTTCAGTTTTAGAATCTTTTTTTTTTTTAAGTTCTCTCAGGTTTTAGGTGGAAACTCTTGCTCCACATTGGGCAGCCAAATGTAGCTGGAAGGTTTCTCCAGTCCTGTCCAGCCCCACAGTACCGCAGCCACTTATAAAATTATCATGCAAAGGCTTACATTAATTACCAATTGAATGAACTATGACAGGCTTCTTGTTAGCTAGCTCTTGTAACTTAAACCATTTCTATTAATGTATAAGTTGCCAAGTGGCCGTGGCATTACCAGTCTGCTGGCATCTTGCTGCTCCTTTGGCAGTGTCTGGTATCGCTCCAGACTCCACCTCTCTTTTTCCTGTCTCTCTCCTTGGATTTCCTGCCTGCCTCTGAGCTGCCTTGCCATAGGCCAAAGCAGCTTTATTTATTAGCCAATGGGAGCAACACACATTCACAGCATACAGAAAGATTACCCCACAGCAAGGAGGTAGTGCTATTTGGTGAGGCAGAGCCTTGATGAGGGAGGGACATCACTGGGGTAGGCTTTGAGGGTTTGTAGCCTCACCTCACTTCTCATCCTCTCTGTGTATTTCCTGTGTGTGAACGAGAATGTGACCTTTCTCCTTCACATCCCTGATGTCATATCTTTCCTACTATTATGGACTCAGCACTTCTGGAACCATAAGCTAAAATAATCCTTTCATTTACAGTTGCTTTGGTTGTAGTATTTTATCATAGCAACAGAAAAGTAACTGTAAATTGCTGTGGGATGTTCTGTATGGCAAATGTGTTGCTCTGATTGGTTGGTAAATAAAACACTGATTGGCCAGTAGTCAGGCAGGAGGGAGTATAGGTGGGACAAGGAGGAGAATAAAGCTGGGAAGTGGAAGGCTGAGTCAGAGAGACACTGCCAGCCGCCATGATGACAAACAGCATGTGAAGATGCCGGTAAGCCACGAGCTACGTGGCAAGGTATAGATTTATAGAAATGGATTAATTTAAGTTGTAAGAACAGTTAGCAAGAAGCCTGGTACGGCCATACAGTTTGTAAGCAATATAAGTCTCTGTGTTTACTTGGTTGGGTCTGAGCGGCTGTGGGACTGGCAGGTGAGAGAGATTTGTCCTGACTGTGGGCCAGGCAGGAAAACTCTAGCTACAGTAAATGAGTAACATGAACATGATTTTGATTTTGGAGGTGGTGGTTCAGAACTATAAAAATACAAGTAACTGGGGCTAGAGAAATGTCTCAGTAGTTAAGAGCAGTGGCTGCTCTTCCAGAGGACCTGCGTTCTAGTCTCAGAATCCGCATGGCAGTTTGCAACTGTCTGTAACTCCAGGGAGTCTAATACCCTCTTCTGGCCTACATGGGCACTACATGCAGATAGAGCATATACATACATGCAAGCAAAAGACTCATGTGCATAAAATAAAAATAAATGAATCTTTAAAATGAAAACACACAATAATTTACCCTGTCACAAGCCTCAATCATATACATAAAATACAACCCAGAAGTCCTGGTTGAGGAAACACCACCCTTTAGATGCCAAGCATATTTTGGCACACAAACATAGCACCAATCAGCTGCCACAGAGACATAAAGGGGCAGTGTAGCATTTGACCATTCTGAACTAAGTCCTGAAAAACTCAGGTGACCGTTTCTGTGGTATTATTAGGTTTATCTAAGAAAAGTCAGACATGAGAGTGAAATCTTCAGGCTATGTGTTCTGGTACAGTCTGATTGCAACCATGGAGACAGAAAGTCAAGCTGAATAGCCCTAGACATGACTGAACACCAAGTGTGCTCGCTACCTCAGGAGATGTCACCTTCTTATTCACTAGTGCATCGAGAGTGTGGCATATGCTATCCCAAACATGGAAATAGCTACTAGTCCATTCACATAAATGACTCAGTCTCAGTGTTAGACCTAACTAGGGTCACTCCAGACTGTTGATTTACTGACAGAAAAATCCAACTGTAAGTTTGGTGTAGATACATGCTGAGACTCTCTAAATTCTCAATCTTCCTAATGCTGCGACCCTTTAATACCATTCCTCATGTTGTGGCCCCTAACCATAAAATTATTTTTATTGCTACTTCATAACTATAATTTTGCTACTGTTATGAAACTTAATATAAATATCTGTTTTCTGATGGTCTTAGGTGACCCCTGTGAAGGATAGTTCAGTCCTCAAAGGAATCATGACCCACAGGTTCAGAAATGCTAGTCTAAGGTGTCACACAGCAGCAGAACAGGGAACAGGGCTCAAAGCTGAGCTTACTTGGGTGGCTGCTGAGATTAAATGCACAGGTGCCTTGGCAGCCATATGCAGGCATTTCCTGCAAACTACACTTCCCACAGCAACTATGTGATTAATCCCTCAATGACATTTTTTAAATCTCACTTCAAAAATTCTTCTGTGTATGATCTTTCACCCAAATGGAGTTTCTTCCCCCTAGAGCTGTTAATGTTATAAATCAAAACTAG